ATTAGAAAGAACTTCTTCACTGTTAGAGGAGTTAGGCACTGGGACGGGCTCCCCAGGGAGGTGGTGGAGTCATCGTCCCTGGAGGTGTTCAAAAAACGTTTAGATGTGGTACTTCAAGACATGGTTTAGTAGATGTGGTGGTATCAGGTATATGGTTGGACTTGATGATCTTTGAGGTCTCTTCCAACCATAATGATTCTATGATCTATTCTTCTAGTTCAGCTCAGCTGTCTTTTCAGCCTCTCCTTACAAATACTTTGTGAAAGCAGAAGGACCATGCATACTACTAAGGGACAGTCTATTTTTCTTTCTCAAGGCATTGAATACCTAGCCCATAGGTGTTCAAAGACCCACTACCTTGCCAGCCTGACAGGGATGAGTTTTCAATTGTCTGCATCTTGGTATCTAACTAGTAATATTAACACAGTGTTTTAAAAATGTTTTGTCTTTAGCCTTTGAAATCAAAAACTAAAGAAACTTGCCATAAAAATTGCCCACATACATATTTAACTTCTACCTGTTTTGGTTCCAAGCCAAATTAGAATGACTTTGCTTTTTAATTATCAGAGCCCGATCTGCTACTGATCTCATATGTCCCTTGGGTTTTTTCTGGCTTGTTTTTTTTTTTCTTCCCCACAAGCATATGTATCCTGTTTTAACAGGCTTAGGCTGATCTCACAAGTGAGTGCCACTAAACTTGCTCATTCCTGTCACTGGAAAGTGCATAGGGAATACAGACCTCTTCTGCCAGGGGAAAAAAGGCTTCCTTAGTTGAGCCCTTAATTATAATAACCTTTTTTTATTAATCTTTTTATGAATAGTAGATAGAGTAGCCAAAGAGGACTTCTGTATCTTCCTTTCTGTTCTTTTGTGAGAGGTTGGTCTGTTACTTGTCAGAATAGGCAGTGTCTGCACAAAGAAATTTGGCTAGAGCAGGTGGCTGTGTTGGTCAGGAATTGCACCTTTTTCCTGTGGTGAAGTAGCTATGCCTATAGAAGCTGCTTGAATAGATAAAATTGAAACATCAGGACAATAACTTGGTTTTTTAGACGGGGGAGCTAAGGAAATTCGTTGGAGCTGGGATGAGTAAAAATTTGGATAGTGCGAGTTGTACTTGCAGTTGAAGTGCCTTTTGGTATAACACTAATTTTCATCCTTTCCTTTGATACTGTTCTGGTTTTTTGCACCCTAGTCAGTCACTTAATTGGCCAGAAACACATTCACCTATGTATGAATATCTGGGTTTACTAGATGCTTGTATTTATTTTCATAACAGAGAAAATCATCCTCATCTGTAATATAAAATGTTTCCACAGATGTTACATTCCTGAAGATGTGTGCTGTTCCTGAGGTGTGTGGTTATTTTGCATTTACATTTCTTTTTCTATGTATGCAGATGCTTTGGGAAAATGGTATCAATGGCATTTTAGCTGATGAAATGGGGTTGGGGAAGACGATCCAGTGTATTGCAACAATAGCACTGATGGTGGAGCGAGGAGTCCCTGGTCCATTCTTAGTATGTGGTCCTTTGTCTACTCTTCCAAATTGGATGTCTGAATTCAAGAGATTTACTCCAGAGGTAAAAGAAGTGAAGATTTCTCTTTTTCTTCCTTAGATTTAAAAGAACAAATTATATTTAAATCTTATTCTAATTCTTTGCCTTGAAACTTTCTCTCTATAGAATATCAGTTTAATTGTAGTTGTTTATGTGGTTACTACACACTGTGCCATGACTTGCTATGTATTTACAGCCTTCTTGTAATAAAGCTAATTATCCCTCCTGTCTTCTGTTTAGGTTCAAATGAGCTTAATTCATCTGACTTCTAAACCTGTGTTTTTCAGATTCCACTAATGCTCTATCATGGAGCTCGACAGGAACGTCGTAAACTGGTTTGTAAAATTCACAGGCGACAAGGATCACTGCAAATCCATCCTGTGGTCATTACTTCCTTTGAAATAGCAATGCGGGACAGAAATGCCCTACAGGTATCTAAGTTCTCCTGAAAGCTCTGGGATGGGTGGAATGCCTCATCACTAATAGCAATGCTTTTGAATATAGTAAAAAAAGGCCACATGTTGCCTGTACAGTGAGTGTCAAACTGTAGCATTTATATTGGCATTCACTTCTGTTTGCTTGGTAGCAGTGGCTCTGGAATTTTATGCTTAAGAAGTCCTTCAAACAGAACACTATCCAGAAAGTGAATTAAGCAGATAGCTACCGCCTACCTGCTCTTTTCATTGCCTCTCTGTAGGTGATGGTGAGGCTTGGGGTAAAAGCTATACTTGGTGTATAAATATCATGGTTAACATCAGAGTGGTTGTTTCAGCGAGATGAGTTTATTGTAAAAGTTTTATTGTAATCACCTAAGCTTTCTAAATGCAGTCACCATGACGCAGATGTATAGCATTAACTGTTTGGATTCAGCTCTTCTAGTCTGGCAAAGTGAGAAACAACAGTAAATAGAATCTTTATAACAGGCAGTATCAGACAATCTTATTAGTGCTGCTTATCTCATTTGGCATGTGTTTTGATGGAGTAAATCTTAAGATTTACTGAAATATTTCTTTTTGTAGCACTGCTTCTGGAAATACCTAATAGTGGATGAAGGTCACAGGATTAAAAATATGAACTGCCGCCTTATCAGAGAATTGAAACGGTTTAATGCGGACAATAAACTCCTGTTGACTGGTACTCCCCTGCAAAACAACTTGGCAGAGCTTTGGTCATTGCTTAACTTCCTGTTGCCAGATGTGTTTGATGATTTGAAAAGGTAGGTTGCGATCTGATGGTGAAAACTATTTCCCTTTGTTCTCTTTGGGCATTATTGTGACTCTTTAATAATTAAACTTGTATCAGCATGTGAAGGGCTGGTTTATGGTATGGTTGTAATTTGGTATGATTATTTGGTGGTGAAGGCTTTGAAATGTGTCTGGCCTTCACACTTAGTTTTTTCAGGAAGGAAGTAAGTAATTGTCAGCTCTATGGATAGTGGAAGCTCAACTCTGAGCTAAGACATGAATGAGCATTTGGGAGAAGAGTTGTTTGTCTAATCATAAGTACCTGGTGCTGCTTGAGATTCTCTAAGGTGCTGGAGAAAGCTGTGTGAGGCTGGCCGACATGGGGCCCATAAGAGATGGATCCCTTTTTGAAGCAGTAGAAGGTCAGGTGGAAGAACGTTACCAAAACAGTCTTTAGACTAATTTTGGAAAAAGATACAGACTAGATTGAATATAATAGATCATAGTGAATATTCCAACTAATTGAAGTATTTTTACCAATCACTGAATGGTATATACCTGTCTGAATTGACAGGTACATTTCAGAAATACCTCCTGTTCACTTTCTATTCATGATGGATGTTAGTGCTTTGTTTTTCTTAAATTGCAGGATAAAAGGATAGTGTACTTAAATAATGAAGGATAATAGCTATGAAGTAAGCTATTCCTTTTTTTACTTTGTTTTTATAGCTTTGAATCCTGGTTCGATATTACCAGCATTACAGAAACTGCCGAAGATATTATTGCTAAAGAAAGGGAGCAAAACATCTTGCATATGCTGCATCAGGTTTTAACTTATTCTTTTGTGGTTTTTTTTTTCATGGTTTATTTCTAACATTGACCATTATTATGAAGTGTGTCAAAATCTTGTTTGTGGAGCTGAATTCTGGGCCTCAGGTTTTTGTTGTGGCACTTCTAAACTTCCTTAGACTTGTGGGTTTTTTTCAATCTTAACAGCACTTAAATGCTGAAAGGAACAATATACCTCTTTGATAATGACTCATTTTTATTCTTGGAACTGAATGGAGTTTTGTCAAACTCAATTGTAGTTGCCTGCTTCTGTTTGCCAAAAGATTTAATTGGTATATTTATTTTGTTGGAAGATAACTTTGAGGGAATTTATATAACTTTTAGGTGTTGAACAGAATACCTTTTGACAAACTAGTTGTATAATGTGCCTGTCTTCAAAACCAAACTAACGCTCAAAACTCTTTTTTTTTTTTTTTAAGGGTGTGTGTGTGGAAGTAAATACTTACAGAACTATAATTTTCCCATCATAAGCTGATGGTCAGAGATATAAATTGTGTCAATTGTCAATGACAATTTATTATTTATTTCAGTTAAAGGTTTGGGGCTTTCCCAGATTAACTTGATTTAAGATATATAACAAGCAAAATGAACTGTTTCATAATACAATTACTTTCAGTTAATGAAAATTGTTTGAAAGGTCTGTAATGTGGGTACTACTGCACCCTTATTAAACACTTCAAAATTTTTAAAATGTCAATGGATGTGCGGTTTGAAGACATGTATTACCAGCATGTGCGCAGAAGTTTTGGAGTAGGCATCCATATTAAAAAATGAAATATGGAACACTGCAAATTAACTCTCTTGCTTTAAATTGTCAAAATAGCATTACATCAGTAGACCTGTTTGTGTGTGTGTTTGTTTTTTTTTTTTTTAAACTAGCCATGTTGAGAGCCTTGAGTAACTCTAACACATCTGCTGAACATTTCAGATTCTGACACCTTTCTTACTGAGAAGACTGAAATCCGATGTTACTCTTGAGGTTCCTCCTAAACGAGAAGTTGTGGTATATGCACCGCTGGCAAAGAAACAAGAAACTTTCTATACTGCCATAGTAAATCGCACCATTAGGAAACTGCTTGGAAATAACGAGGTATCTACTGATATGGGTGTTAGAAATATGCTTGCTATTAATGATTTGTAGGCAAAACCACATTGGTATTGCTTCATTACCGTTGTAACTAAACCCACTTTTTGCTTAAATTTTTAGTCTGATCCCTTTGTTATCTATTTCAATGGCAATTATTGTGACTGGCCTCAGGGGCACAGAAATAATACGATATGAGTGTAAATATGTTCTTCATTACTTGTAGCTTGAGGGAAAAAGAAGAGTTTTCCTACAGCTGACAGTTTCTGCTGTAAAATCAGTAAGGTACTAATGCAGCTTTTAAAAAATCAAGTGGAAGCTTTCAAAATCTACAATTATAGACCTTTAAAATTTGGGCTGCATTTTTTACTTAGCAAAACTTAGAGCTGCTTGAGTCTATGTATTGGATGATGCATATCACTGAGACCTCCTTTGAGTATTGAGAATTCTTGGGTCAGCATAGGCCTTTGAATCTGAAGCTATCTACTGTTGATGGCAACGTTATCATTTCCCACAGGAAGAAGTAGTTGAATTGAGTCCTACAGGCAGACCAAAACGCCGTAGTCGAAAACTGGTTGATTATTGTGAAGAACATAATGGTTCACCTGATGACTTGGAAAAATTGATCAGCAAAATGCAAGAGGAAGTAGAAAAAGAGAGGTGCCTGCCCTAAAAGATTTTTTTATTATTATTATACCGAATATCTCCCTCTTAGTGTTTTGCTTATTGAAATTGATAAAGAATGGCATTATGTAATTCACTGTCCTCGTAGCTTATGATTTGTTTCTTTGCTTTTACCTAATACTCGCTGGACCATGATAGCAATGATTAGGTTGTACCATCACTCATGGACTCAATAGAATTATAGTTAACTACAAGACATTTACTCCTAGACCTGTGGCCTTTGCAGGATCTAGCAATAAAATTGCTTCTTGAGTCCCTGTTTTCATTAGTCACAGTCTTGGGTAGGTCCTGTGACGATAGTGCTGTTGATAATCCATAAAGAGCTAAAATGTCCTAGTGTGAAACGTAATTCTTTGGGGCTGTTAAAACGTTTTGGTAGTGAAACTGTGGTTTCACTGAAGTCTCAAGGTCTAAAATGGTGTTGGGTGCCAGCCAGGGAAGAACTGCTTCATCTCAGTTATCTCATAGTTGAGATTTCATTGTAATAGCTTCTGTCCTAGCTACAGCTAGCAGTGAGGACAAAGAGCTGAAGAGCTTGGCTTATTGGTGATTTTGCAGGCTTTGCAAGGTTCAGGTAAACCTTTTGTCTCCAGTGTCCAATTATGTTCGCAGGTATATCTTTCATTGGCTCAAAGACAGGACAAGGGATAATGCTGGTGTTCTAACTACAGTTAATTCCTGGTTTTATTTGCAGAATACACAGGAATACTTGAAGCAAAGTTTGGACTCAAGAGTGGAGAAAAGGGAGGAGTAGTTTCCTTGCTAAATTTTGTAAAATATGTAGACTTAAGCTCAGGCCTGGAACCCAAATGGTCAGCATGGTTATTGCTGTTTTGGTGACAGGTATTGGTTGCTTTCTGGTGATTAAGATCAGAGTTGAGGTTCAGGAATGAGGGAACTGAGGAATCGTATTCATTCCTGGGTTTGGCAATGTCTATTGGTGGCTCTAAATTGGTTGGAAGTCCCTTGGGCATAACGAAAACCAGGTTAATCTTCAGGGTTGAAATGTATTTATCTTGCTAGATTTTTGTTGTAGTCCAGTGTACTTTGCAAGAACAGACACTTAAATATATGCTTGTATTAGTTTTATGGTATGCATGGGTCCCTTATGTTGGAGATGGTACTTAGATGTGGAAGAACTAAATAGCTGTATTTGTTGTGGATCTTGCAATGTGTACATGTGGCCAACATGGTATAGGCAAAGAGCTGATTTTGGAAGAGCTTATTGTTGTTCCGCAGGAGATATGACCATTTGTTCCAGAGAGGACTAGCTTCTGTTCCCTTTTCTGCTGGGTGACTTGCACAAGTTGGTTTTTTTGCTGATTACTACTGACTGCCCTTTTGTGTTTTAAACCAATAATGACAAACCCTTGTGCCTTCAGTGCCAAGCGTGGCACTAAAAGAAGTTTTGTCTGGTAATAGCTTTACTAACTATGAAGGATTGTGAGGACGTTTGATGCAGCATGTGAATCCATTGCTTGATTTGGGTGTGATTTTTTTTTTTTTCTTCAGTGTCTGTAGCATAATAAGATGACACTTTCTGTACTAATAAGATGACATATCTTTTCAAGGCCAGTCGTAGAAGTGAGCATTCCCATGGATTCAGAGGTGAACCTTAAACTGCAGAATATTATGATGTTACTGAGGAAATGTTGTAATCACCCCTATCTTATTGAATATCCATTGGACCCTGCTACACAGCAATTCAAGGTACGTATTTTAAAATGATAAGAAAAATTATTCCAGGCGTTAAAAAGCAATAGACTGTGAGCTGACAGCAGTAAACCATGACTTTTTCAATGTATTTGGCATATGCCTCCCCACTGAATTCCAGCAGCACACTGAACCATTATTTGAAGCTTCCTGCAGCAGTTGCAGAGACCAGTTCAGCCTCTGTGCTCGTTTAGCCTTTGCATAGTGATGCTGTAGTGTTCTTAGTTATGGCAGTGCTCATCTGCTGGGAGCAAAGTTAACTGAATTCAAACAGTAGCTGGGTTCTGTTGACTTAAGGTGTTTTAGGATCTGCCTTAAGCTCTCCTCACAAATGTTGATTTCCAAAGCAAAAATGCTGACCTTGCTGAACTGTTCATGACATAAATTGTACACACTGCAGGAGACGCAGTGGTAACTTTAAAGTGTGAGGTATTGAAGGTCTGAACCAAGTACAACAGAGTCGTTTGTTCAGAGAATACAGCATCTTTCTCCTCAAAAGGGAAAAAATCCAAATTATATCACAAAAACCAGCTGGTAGTTTGATCTACACAAAGCAGTTGGCAGTATATGAAGGTATGAAGTAATTTGAATTGAAAGAATCTTGAACAACTGGAAGTTGCTTGCACATTCTAAATGTAGGTTGGTGGGCATGTGTAGTCCTGTTTCCTGTTCAGTGAGTGATAACAGATTCACCTGCACTCAGGAGCAAGCTGTTGAAGTTTGTCAATGTAAAGTCGGTGTATAAAAAGCAGATAACCAAGTATGGGTGATGAGGGGAAATTAGTTAATGTCTAGAAAATGAAGGTTGTTTGGCAGTTGATGCCACTTGCAGGAGCTAGTACCTGCTCAGGGAAATGGATTAGGAATTACCGAGGTGGCTGCTGTATGGTTCAGACCTGAGAAGTTTCTATATCCTTGCTCTTAGTCCATAGCAAGAATTAAATCTAACAAACTCTCTTGAGCAAGAGAGGGCTCTAAGGTAGGAGTGTGAAAACTTGGTCTGTGAACTTTTGTCACTTGGCTGATGTGTAGTAACTTGTTCAGCAGAGCTTCCTTGTATCCAGTAGGTGGAAGACTTGTGTAGTAATTATAAGCTGGGAAAGAAACAACAGCACTTTTCCAAGTGGAAAAATTAAAATGATTAGGGTTTTTCCATCCAAAAATGAGATTAAAACTAATTTGTTTTCTTAAAAATTATTTGGGCATATGAAATGGTGGGGTTTGATTTAGTTTCATCCTGATTTAACCGATTCAGTGTGGTTTGCTAAAATTAGTGTTGCTTCCAATCTTACAGCTTTTAGTTCAAAAGATGGTACAAGCTTGTTTCTGTGAGGAGCTTTCAGACAGCTTTTGTTGGTGCTTCTGAGTTGGGGAAACTTTTGATATCCTTCCCTCCTAATACATGATCCCCTCTCCCCTGTTCTAAGGTTGATGAAGATCTAGTAAAGAATTCAGGCAAGTTTCTACTCTTGGACCGAATGCTTCCAGAACTGAAAAAGAGAGGACATAAGGTAAAGCTAATGATTGGGGGAGCGGCATAGTTGTCTCCTTATGAGCAAAAAATGGTATTAAGGAATCTTCCTGGTTTTGTAGGTCTTGTTGTTCTCGCAAATGACTATGATGCTTGACATTTTGATGGATTACTGCTATCTGAGAGACTTCAAATTTAGTCGATTGGATGGCTCTATGTCCTACTCAGAGAGAGAAGAAAATGTAAGTACATGTACATGCCCTTTGAGTCTGTTAGTAAATTCTGCTTGTTTCTGTGACACTGGATTATGATTTTGCACAGCGTTTAGCGTTTAGCCTTTAATAGGCAGAAGACATCTATGTTGAAAACTGACATCCTTGCTGCTGCTTTAATATCTGCAGCTCAGAAATACTGAAGCCATGAAATGTGTAACTACCCAGTATCTTGGGGTGTGCCTTGAATGAGGGGTGCTCATGTACTCTGTTGCCCACATGTAACGTATCTAGACTGTGGCAGATGCTAATCCCAGTTTTACCTCTGCATGTATTGTTTCCTAGCATCCAGGATGTGATGCCAGCATCTATGGGAGCGTACTGCAAGTCTAATGTTAAATAAAGTAGATTCCAGGAAATGAGGGTTTTGTACTAGTAGTACACCTGCAACTTCGTGGATTTGTTCCAGTGCAATCTTTTGTTCTTGCATACTTGTAATGGATTCAGATAACCACAGAATGCCTTACTAGTGAGGCATATATTTATCATGAAGAGCAGCCATGCAGGGTGGTTCTGGAAAACCACCTCTCTGAGGGTTTGCAGGTGTGTAAAAGAGCAATGCATACATATATAGAGGAAGTACACAGGATATATCTAGGGATGTGCTGCAATTGCCATCTCGTCTCCAAAGTATGCATTAGTGTTTATGAAGATATGGAAATCAGTGGCAGATGACAGATCATCTAGCTCAAATTGTGCTTCCCTTCACTCCATTTTTTTCTGTGCCACAGTGTGGCTGAGGAAAACTGAATCCCTAAACACTTAGGTTGCTACTGTTAGAGCTGATTCTTAAAGAGGAAAGGCTAACTAACAACATATCAGCAAGCTATAGTGACTTCTATTAAGCTGGTAAAACTTTGTACTGCTGGCTTGTGGGGATTTTTAGGAGTTGATTGTGTGGTATGGGTACAGGATGAGAGAAATCTTCCAGGCCACCAGTCAGTTCAGCAAGTTCAGCAAGGCTCTTCCCAGTTGCATGATTTGCTGCTCGTGCTGTAGATGCTGATGTCCAGGAGAGCCCAGAGGATATGGGGCTTTTAGAGAGCTTATGTGGCTACTTCCACCTGGTAGTGGGGTGATGGTTTCTTTTTCTCTGCTGTGATCAAAGTCCTGTAAACTACTACACGCTTCCAGTTTTCTGCCAGCATGTGGGTGGTCAGACTTAACTAGACTAGATTTTGACTGGTATTGCAGACCTGGTCGGAGCTGTCCTGACACTTAGAGACATCTTGCAGTGAAAGTAGGCTAGATGCTGGGTAGGAGGACAGAAAGTTACTCTTAATTTTGAAATAAGAGGAGGAGGTATGCAGGGTGGCTGGAAGTTACAGTCAAGTTGGCATCAGTATTTTAGATTGTTGCTTGTATTAGATGTTTTTAGGCTCTGCCAGCTTGGACTGTGCTTACTATCACTGGATGGTAGGTTATGTTGAGGTGAATGTGATTTGGACCATACCTCACTATAGTCACCTCTAGTCCTTGTGTTAGACAAATCATTGACTGAAATAATCAGATAAGAAAATACAATTGCTTCACTTCTTGTTCTTGTCCTGTCCTAAATGCATGCAATATTTCTTAAAGTCTTAGTTTGGCCTCTGTCAGTGTGTACGGTATTTTATCTGTGTTTATCTTTTTAAACATGGGTGTCTCAAAAGAAAACATTAGCTATGTTGTGTTTGATCCATCTGCTGGTTTTTAATACACATATTCTCTTTCAGATGCATAAATTTAATACTGACCCTGAAGTCTTCCTGTTCTTAGTGAGTACAAGAGCTGGAGGCTTGGGCATTAACTTAACTGCGGCAGACACAGTTATCATATATGATAGTGACTGGGTATGTAAATATGTGTCAAAAATACTTTCTCTATTGCTGCTTTTAATAATCATTTACTCACCCATTATGGCATAGTCTGTTTCTGTAACTTTAATGAGGTGTTACATGAAGGTAATAGCAGGTAGTGTATGCAAACATGTTGTGTATGAAATATGCAGCCCTGTTTGAAAAGTCCTAGCTTACTGAATACAGTGTTAGAGTTGGTTTCCAAAACTAGCCTGTTTGCCCCTGAGTTACACCAAAAGCAGGAGGGGTTTTCTGTTACTGTTGAAGATGCGTTCCTTCTTTTGATTTATAATTTAAGTTTGAATGTAGTCAGACCATCTACAGGTTCCCTGTTTCCAACAGCTGCCATGTTAGTACCAGCCCTTTGAATTTCCTCCTGTGACTTGCCGTATGTGTTTTAGCTAGCTAGGATTCTGCTGTTCCTGTGGGTCTGGAGACTGGGAAGAAGAGGGGTTTGGAAGGAAATGACTGAGGACCTCTGCATCTTCACTTTATTTTAATATACAGCTCTGCTGTTTGCATGACTATTCAGCTTCAGGAGAGCTAAAGCAGCTTCAGAAATGTCTGAAAACTTTTAAAATCCCTCTTCTTATCCTCCAACAAAAAACCCCTGCAGACCTACAGCTAACCCTTGGCTAAATTTGTGATACAAAACATGTCCATCTGTGAAAACTGCAGCGCATAGTGCAGAAACAGTCTGAGCTACTTGGGTTACTCTGGCTGTGCAGCTGCAGCAGCAGAGTGTGTCATGGACAAGTTTAAGACTACAGAGATGTAGAGTTCTGTTATACCACAGCTGCCATGCTTATTGCTTCTGCTCTGACTCTAAGCTTACAATTGAAAACGCAGCCTGTGGTTCATCTCTTAAAAAAGGTTAATGATGTAGCTAACTTGTTTCTTTATCTGCTCAGAACCCCCAGTCAGACTTGCAGGCCCAAGACAGGTGTCACAGAATTGGCCAGACAAAGCCAGTGGTTGTTTATCGTCTTGTGACAGCAAATACTATTGACCAGAAGATTGTGGAGAGAGCTGCTGCCAAGAGGAAGCTGGAGAAGCTCATTATCCACAAAAGTTAGTATCTTTCTCTTATGACTTCCTGTAAGCATGCATTTCTTCTTTAAATCTCAAGAGAACTCTTACTGCTCTGTTTTGTGACTGCTTAGTATTTTTTCTTAAATGCAAAATGCTTCATCCTTCCAACAAGTGGCTATATAGTATTACTTTTCAAAATGCATTATTCGACATGTTGTAGATAATTTCTGCAGCAAATTAAAGGAAAGCTCTTCTAGTATTTCTGGAATCAACATGTTACTACTACTCCATTACTCCTGGGTATGTAAATACGTGTCAAAAATGCTTTCTCTGTTGCTCCTTTTCATAATCATTTACTAACCCATTATGGTATAGACCATTTCTGTAACTTTGATGAGGTGTTGCATGAAGATAATAGTAAGGTAAGGAAAAAAAGAGGAGTGATGGGACACTGAGCCTACCTGGAAGAAATATTGGTAGAACAAGGCATAAGAGAGTAGAGCTCTGGGCTTGTTGGCAGCATGTCAGCAAAATGATAGTTTGTTCGACCCAAATGTTTTTGGACTTTTAGCACCAAAAATGCTGGGGGTAGATGACAAGTCTGCATTGCTTATTTTTAAAACCAAATTAAATGAACCAGAATATAAATGGAAAAGCAGATAAAAATAATTCTTAACTGCTTGCATTTTAGTTTATAACAATTGTTCATTTGGAGCAATATGCTTACTTAATGACATCTAGAGCAGTGTTTCATTATGGAAGTTTAGCGATAGATTTTTCCAGTTGCACTGGCAAACTTGCTTGAGTAGTGAGTGTTCCTATTAAAACTGGTAAAATACCTGGAGACTATAGAAAGTTTGGTTCATGGGAGATTCCTACTAAACTTCGCAGAGATTGCAAATCCTAGAGCTGTAAAATGACTGTAAAAAATTTCAGCATCCTGTTTGTTTCTGTGTTTCTGAATTCAAGAACAGTATGTTATAACCACAGTAGAATGCTCCTGCTTGACCAATTAACCAGTGCTGAATAGAACAATAGTCCTTGATTTTATGTGCAGAACAATGGTGATGCTGCTTGTGTTCTCGATTAAATAGTTGGTCATACTCAAAAGTCTTAAGAAAGTGATTGGGCTGAAGTGTCTCTTTTGGGGGTAAATTTTTCTTGCTTGGGTCCTATAGGAATCCTGCTTTGCCTCCGTAGCTTATTCTGTTTGTGATATTTGGACAGTAGCTCCCTATAGCATTTTCCAAACACTAGGCTCACTTGGAAAATACAAGTCTTGTAACTTGGTATGGGCTTCTGACAATAATTAGCCTTATATTAAACTTTAAAGGAGGTTAAGAACTTCTTATAGTATATTAAGAGGCGGGGGGGGGGGGGGGGAGCATTTTCATGAGGGCATGAAGGGGCAGAAAGGCCACACCTGTCTACTGCACAGTGCACTGCTTGTCAAGCATAAGCTATGGTTTGCCTCTGGTTTTGGATAATGTTAGCTAATCTTTGTTAGATGCTTCCTTTTTCCTAGCTTCAGCATTTTTCTTTGTAATCTGTTTGCCAATGCTGTCTTGGTGTGACTGCCATCTGACTTTCTGTAGATGTGTTAATGACCAATTTAAGGAAGAAAAATTTGTTTCTAATGATCTGATTATCGTCCAACCTGAAGTTAAAACCAAAGTGGCAAGATGAGTGCACAAAACAAAATGGGCTCTAACAGTAGATGACTGACATATACTAAAGTTGCAATGTGAACTGGGACTAGTTGTACTGGAAGGAATCTTAAGTGTCAAGTTGGGTCATGCCTTCAATTCTGCAATAAGTTGATTATTTATCTTGGTAACTATTGGTGAATGATATCTAAATCTTGCAGCGTAGGTAGGGGTGTCCCCTCCAGGTACCTTTCGGTCCACTGTGTAAATGTAAAGGTGATATAATGGATCCTGTTATTTTTAATATCTAAAAAGTGTTGAAACTTTGGAGGACTGAATGAGGAAGGGATATCACAAAGCTTACCTAAGTCAGGCCTTTCAGTGGTGTCTAACCATGTGGAGTGTGCACAGTACAAGTACTGGAGCTTAAGAACTGGAATTTGTTGCAAAACAGAATGCTTTTTTGGCCTCAGCACGAGGTTACTCTTTCTGTCTTGTGCTTCTGCTTTATTGAAGAAAGTTGCCTAGGAAACTGTATGAGAACCAGCATGATTTTAGTTAAATTAGTAGATGTCAGACTAAGAGGAAGTGATGGACATAAACTTCTATGTAAATTGCTAAGTGCTTGATAGGGTCTTCTGTATTTTTCTCTGTGTCGCTATTATTGCAACCCAAGACCTGTACAGCACTAATTCAATGCCATATGATTTGTGAAGCTCTGAAAACTAAAAGGGAGAGACTGCATTGCTAATACTGCATGAGGAGACCTGGATCCTGTGTGTTACAGCAGGAGATGTTAATGGGGGAGAGAGTCCAATAGTTCAAACCCCTTTGGAACTTGCAGCTGATTTCCACTTCACAGAGAAACAGCCAGTCCTTGGAGGGAGATGGGAAAAGGTGTGGGGATGACTTCGGAAACCAAGATATAGGAAAGAACAGCAGTGAGTGTGATAAAAGCAATCGATGAAGACTCATTAATAAAATGGATACATGTTTTGATAAAAACTGAGGCAACCTGGCACAGAACAGTAAGCCTTCCCTGTCTCTATGAAATGTGCAAGACTGAACCTGACTTCATCCATGCTCAGCTTTATTTAAGTAATAGTCTTGTAGAATTTTTTTTTTGGATATTTGGGCTGACATCCAGATTTGTATGTAGAAAGGTGTTAGCATAGTCTCTTCAAGAAGCTAGCCTGTGTCAGGTGTATTGTTTTGTCATGTCTGTCTAGTCTATTAAACTGAGGGATGTTCTCTTGGCAGACGGTGTATTTTTCACCTATTTATCTTGTGGTTAATATTGCTTACTTTGTTTCAACCAGCTTACAATACAAAGGGAACAAACTTCAGCATCTACTATCTAAATTCTTTTACAATGTTTTTACTGTAAGTAGAACTAATGGCTTTTCTGCTCTGTGTGTGTTTGCATGTTGAATTGGTGTTTCAATCATTTCTTCTGCATACTACAGCTAGAAGGTGAAAAGCCTGCATGTAAACTCTTCATGTACCTCTGACTTTTTCCACCAGTTATGTTGTTATTGTAAGATGTGTTTACCAGAGAGCTAAAACAATGAAACATAGCATTACTTTTGATGTGTAAGGGTAATTTGTTCAATATATGCATCCAGCATGGATTTAACAATTTACAGAATTTGTTCCTGTCTCTGTGTACTTTCTTAAAATTTCTCCTTTCTACAGATCAGTTTAAAGGTGGCAAATCTGGTCTAGCACAGTCAAAGAGTTGCCTGGACCCTCAGGAATTAATAGAATTACTGAAATCCAGAGACTATGAGAGGTATGCAGATTTCATATTTTTCTTGGACCATGAGTTTGTAACTTGCAGCTTGCAAGCAGCTGTCAATAGCTCTCTTGTCTTATGGAGTGGTATGTGGATCTCCATAGTGGAAAGAATGTCCTAGGGATTCCACTGTGTGGGAAAACTGACTTCTATGCAATAATAACGGTAACATGATTTTATCTGTTTTGAGAGATTTTTTTCTTCTTCAACAGGGAGGTTAAAGGATCTAAAGAAAAAGTAATCAGTGATAAAGATCTAGAGTTACTCTTGGATAGAAGTGATCTTATTGGTAAGTCAGAGTTTTCATCTGTGGTTTGTTTTTTTTTCTGTTCAACAGTAAATTCATATTTTGTAAGAGTCTTTGTATGTGGAATGCTGCCGTAACTTCACTTCCCTACAGCTGTGTTGTACATCTGAAGAAGGACCCTTTGGCCCATTTGCTGACATTTCCAGTAGGATTTGCTAAAGAAGTAGTAACAGAACTTAAACAAAAGTATCCCAGAAAACCACATTCATGTATAGTGTGCCTTGAGCATACTATGGAGGAAAAGAATAGATGAGGAGGTGTTCTGCAAAGCACCCTGCAAGAACACTCTGTAAGTTGCTGTAATTGATCAAAATAAGTATTTTCTGAGAATAATTTCTATTTCAGCAAACTTGTTCAAAAACCTATTTTGATATAATCATAATTCAAAATATAGTCTAACATTTTTTGGGGAAAAAAGTTGAGCTTTTCATAGTTACCATGGCTTGTCAGTGGATCAGATATTTTAAAAAAAAATTCTAGTGCTTGATCAGGCCAAGATGCTATTAAAAAAAAAAAAACAAACAACAAAACACAACCTTAACTTTTCTGAGAAAGGAGAAAATTCTTGTCCAATTTATCTAAACTAGATTTAGTATGCTTTGTTTTCTTCAGCATCTTTAGGAGAGATAAGCGTCAAAGCATAGATACAGAAAAAAATCAGTCATGACAGAATTTAGAAGTAAAAGTGATAGCTAGCCTTAAATAAGTGTGAAAAATACAGTTTGAGTAAAATGATTTTGCCTTAGGAGAACTGTTGCTATACTTCATTTTTTTTTCCTAGATTATCTAAAGAAATTGTTCTATAAAACTGCTTATTTCCGTTAACTGACTGCTAATATAGAAAATTGTTCTTGATGCACTGGTAATATGGTCTATCTATCTTTACAAGTTAAGGCTGTGAAACAACCTGATTTCTCCTTTCAAGTTGGAGAAGGTGCCACTTATTTTGTGTTATTACAGTACATCATATCTATAATGGTTGCTTTTTTTTCTTGGTTATACTAAGCAAAATATATAAACTAATATTTTTGTATAAAGATTTTTTAACAATTTTAATATATTTATGTAGCATTATGTACTGAATATTTACTACAGCTAACTGCAGCTAATGCTTTAGAAACTGAAATGCCAAGTGCCACCTTCCACCCTTGTAAGCCATAATTATTAAATTTGATATAAAGACAATACTTTTTCATTAGCTTTATATTCGCTGGAAGGGCAACATAGTGATTGCAAGTGCTAGGAAAACAAGATATAGGTCTTTGAAATTTAGAAAAGAATATTGCCTAGCAGAGCCATAACTTTCTGTGTTTCTCCTAGTAACTTCACTAAATAGGTTTACTGTGTACCATTTTCTTCTCAGGAAAACGAGACTAGTTCAGGAAGATTTTAAAACTGCTTATCTCCATTCAGATCTAGCCAGAGGTGCTGGAATTTATTTTTCTTACAAGTACACAACTGAAAAATATTTTCAAGCACAAACTTTTAGTAGCGAACTGTTGATGAAGGAGGAAAACGATTTTATCAACTTGCTTTCCAAATCTAAGCAAAAATACATACAACTTTTATGTCTGCAATAGTAAGGTTGCAGGCACTTCACCTATTATTGTCAATCTTTGTTTTAATCCTAGATCAAATGAAGACCTCTGAAAAAATGAAAAAGGAAAAAATGGGTGTCTTCAAGGTCCTAGAAGAATCGTCAGATTCCAGTGCAGAATGTGTGTTTTAATGTGCAAATGTGGCCTGTAGTCTTACAGGATAACTGTAAGATTATCTGATGACTGACATTAGATCTTCCAGAGATGTCACTTACACATACTGATCCTTTATGTTGACTTTCTTTAAGGCCTTGTTCAAATTCCTTGTGTTCTTTCAGTCAGTTTTAACATGTTCTACAGCATAATGCCAGTGATAGTTTCATGTTGTAGCTTTGGTAGGCTCTCATAAAAAACGAAGAAACTGAGCATGTTTCACATTTGCAGCTAGCTCTTATGATCAGTGGTAAAAACTGGCAATTTTTTGTGTAAAAAAAAAAAAAATATCTTCCTGTGGAAGTCCTAAAACACTTTTTTTATATAGTGTCAATTACGGTTTTATTTAGAGAGAGAACACATGCCTCTGTTACAGCCAATTGTGTAACTTCTGTTTTTAACTTCTGCAAATTATTTTGATTAAATAAATGCCTGGTTTGTTCTAAAGGTGTAGGGATTTTAGCCTAGTTTCTTAAAGAAGTGAAGTTTATGTTATGTCCATTAATTCACATTAATTCACTCTGTCCCTCCTCATGTAGCACATTAGGCAATCTCACACATAAAAAAAAAAAAAAACAACAAACACCAACCCACAAACAACAAAAAAAAAGTCAAAAAAACAACAAAAGAAAAAAGCTCACAACAAAAAATAAAATGCACCTTGAAGGAGTCTAAAAACCCTAAATTTTTTCTGGTGCAGACATTACTTCTGTATTGACTGGCTTCTCAGCTTGCACAGCTAAGGTGCCTGTTTGAAGCAGGTGGAGAGAGCTAAGGGTACTGGAAGGGGAACGTGCACAATGTCTCTGGGGCTGGGTGGGTGACCAAGGAGTACTTTCTGGGAAGGGGAGGTTTGACACTACACTGGGGCAGAAAAGACAGGTGGAGGATATTACTTGCATATGTAGCCTCTAAGAGCTAGCTGTAAGCAGTGGTTTTCAACTTAGATTCATAGACTCATTTAAGATCATTGAGTCCAACCATTAACCTAGCACAGCCAAGTCCACCATTAAACCATGTCCCTAAGTGCCACCTCCAGGGATGGTGACTCCACCATTCCTTGGGCAGCCTGTTCCAATGCTTGATAACCCTTTTGGTGAAGAAGTATTTTCTAATATCCAAGCTAAACCTCCCCTGGCACAGCTAGAGGCCATTTCCTCTTGTCGTATTGCTTCTTACTTGGGAGAAGAGACCAACCCCCCCCTGGCTACAGCCTCCTTTCAGGTAGTTGTAGAGAGTGATAAGGTCTCCCCTCAGCCTCCTCTTCTCCAGGCTAAACAACCCCAGCTCCCTCAGCCCTTCTCTGGATGTGCTCCACCACCTTAATGTCTGTCTTGTAGCAAGGGGCTGAACACAGTATCCGAGGCATTGAGTAGCTTTTAAACTTTCAATTCTGGTTTGTGAAAATGTCATCTAGATATAATAAGAAGCTGCAGTTATAGAATTGCAGCTGGAGCTCTCAGTTGCAGTTGTGCTAGTTATGCCAAGGCATAGGTAACATGGAATAAAATAAAATCCTACCTAATCTATCAGACTTTAGAAACTAGTTGCCAGTCACTTTATGATCATTCTCACTCTCCATAGAGAGTAATCTGTTAATCTGATTTAGAGAAAGTTATTTTATATTAGTGAGACTTGTTTGCCCTTACCTCTATAAGGGAACAAATACATCTGTTAGGTTAATGAGGAGGCTAGCTTTGACCTTGCCTGTTGAAAGCCCTGTCTTGTTTCTAATTGCTGAAGACAAGTGTTTCCAAGTTTTCTTAGAAACTTTCAGTTACTTATTAGCCTGAATAATGCAAAGTCCAATGTGTGCTGTCCCCACGTGTTAGTTACATTTGCTGAGTTACTGTGCTAGTCTCCTTTATGCATTGTTTTATGCTAGTGAAGACCTACTACAAGATTTAAGAGTAAATGATGTATCTATAATAGTATCTAAATGGAATAATTGTAAAAGTTTTAATAGTAACTGACATAACAGCTTCCACACAGGTTTACCTAACTTTTGAAGACTGATTTACCCTGTTCAACCTGCACAGCTACCTGAATGTTGCTACAGGGCAATATGGTGGAAAATAAAAATGAGTAAGAGTTTCTATCGCATAGCACAGCTAGGATTTAATAATACTTGCTACCTTCCTAAAAATGCATAAACTAGCATTAATGCTAATGGTAACATTAGTGAAATGTAGTCACTGCTTAGTGATGTGTGGAGCTTGATGTTATTTAGAGAGGCGTTACAGAGCTGTGGCTGCTTTTCTAGTGTACCTTCAAAAAGCGAAAGAAATGCACATTTGCTTGTTGCCATAGAGGAGCCCATCTCCACCCAGCTCCATGCCCAAAGTGCTGTGAATGTCACTGATTGAAGCAAGCACAGTACCTTCTTGGCATTGACCTTGTATTTCTTATTCCTGCAGTTAAGAGTTATGCTCACACTTGCTGTCCACTTCAGCCATGAAGGAGTAGTCCACCATTTGTGCACTTAATGCCTACAGGCAAAGCCTGGAGCATGCTGTAAGGGGTGCTGGTGTTTCAGAAAGCAGGCTTCCTTTCTATAGATGGGGGGAGATATACAAGTAAATGCAGTAATGGCAATGTGAGGATGCTTTGGGGGTGTTGGTGATGCTAACAGTTTTACATTGTTCTGGGTGAAATAATGCCCCCTTGATCATCCATTAGAAGGAAAAAATATTTCAGCAGATACAAGACAAATTCTTGAAGCATAGATTTGTCCTGGTGACTTGGAAGCAGTCCTCCCGTCCCATGAGGCACCCAGATATACTCAACTGTTGTTCCTCCTTTTGGGGATGTCTGCGGATATTTGAGTTGTTGAGACCAAATGCATGGACATTGATGGGGTCTCAGCTTGCTCCTGTGTTGCTGCTGTGTGTCTAATTGCAGGTTTCTTTTTTCTTTGTTTTTTTTCTTTTTTTTCTTCTTTTAAATCTGGTGAGCGGCTCATATTCTTAGCTGGAGAGGGCTGGGGAGAGGCTGCTGATGGCTTTTCCACGTGATGACAAGATGTGTGGTAAACTTACCTCACACGTTAGAATTTATTTAATGGCATTTCACCAGCACTCGAATGTACTCTGCACCTACCATCACATGGGTATTTTTACTTAGCTGCCTAGCAAAAATGATGTTTGAGCTGCCAGGACTCCACCTTGACAGCAGTCTGAGCTCACAGGGTTGCCATTAGCAAATGAAACTTAAATGTGCAAGCTGGAGCAACTGGCTGTGCTGCTCAGTGCTGTTTTGGTGGTGGGAAAGTGGTGGTGATGGTGTGGGGTGCGAGGGGGAGACAATGAGTGGTCTTGATGATGCTGTTAGGTTGTGGATTTGGGTTCTTTTAACCCTTTTCTATCTGCTTTATCTCCTGGGGACCGGCTCTGTCAAGTCACTGCCAGCAGTGGGGTCTTTTTAACTGTGTAACCAGTTTTAAAAAATAGTGATTTGTGTTCTCAGCTCAGAAGGGATATGTGCTATTCTGTCCCACATGAGCCCTCTTCTCCCACTGTTGCAGCCCACAGCTCATGCTGTGCTCACGGCTTTCCACGCTGTGGCTGCGCTTGGCACCCTGTGCTGTGTGGAGGGGGTTCCTGCAAGCCAACTGGGAGCAGCAGTCTACTGCACAAGGAGAAAGGGGAGATGTGGTGGTGGCAGGGAGAGGCCACAACCAGAAACCCAAGTAATCGTGTTAAAAATGACAGATTGTGCTTTGTGCTGTGCTGTGCTGCACACCTACGTGAGCTAGTCCCTCTTTGGCAGGATGCTAGCTCACTTATAAACTAAATTGCCTGACACCCTTCAGATAGGAGCCTTTCATGTATTTCTTACATTATTGTTAACTTCTGGAGCAGGCGGCTTAGTATGGTTGCAGGCGTGACCCAATTTAACCTATTTTGTAATTGTTGACAAACTCCAGATGCCAACTGTTAAACTCCAGAGGAATTTGGAAAGACTACAGTGAACATTGTAGTTGCCAAATATTTTGTCCTGCTTCATAAAAAATGAATACATTCCTTTTCTCAGGGAGCTACAGCAGAGAGCAATCAAAGTCCTCCCCAAGTAATGAATGTGAATTGCCTTGGCTAGCCTGTTCCCATAGTAATAAATTGGATCAACACTGGTATCTGCATCAGAAACCTACACCTCCAGAGCTACCCCACAAACCTTTTGTTGTTCCCGACTCCTGCGTCAAGCCCCACACAATCAGTGTTTTCCCAGCAGTGCTGCCAGCCTTCGCTGCAGGAGCTCAGCTGGGGCGATAAAGCACATGGCCCCTGGACAAAGCGGAGCTTGTCTTCTGTTTGCAGCGCAGGACTGGGGTGGGAAGGACAGGGGAAATGCCAGGCACAGATGAGGCTCTTCCGTCCTGACCCCCTGACGCAAGAGCAAGCTTGTGAGGTTATCTGGAATGAGCCTCGTTTTGCTGACGGACGTTTGTACAGTATGAAAATATTTAGTGACTTTGCACGCACTGGAGGGCTCAGCCTGCGCCCTGGCGTTGGGGTACAGCACACCAGATGGGTCCGGCGGGCAGCATTTTCCTCCTGCAAGGCAAGTACACAGCCAAGCGTGGCAGGCAGCCAGGAGCCCCCGGCCTGCCAAGAAAGTGGGCAGCAAGGAGTGTGCAGTGCTGGGAGCAGCCGCAGTCCCACAGCAGGGCCTGAGCACTGATCTGAGATGCAGGCAGAGCGATTTGTTCCTACAAGTTTACTCCTTCAGCCCTGCGGGTCTTACTCTCCACCACTGTGCTGGCTTTTTGTCCAGTCTGGCCTGTGTGCACCTGCTACTGCTGCAGCACCAGAGCCTTTCCCTGGGACAATGTGCTGCAGTGGGGAGAGAATTAACCCTCGTTAGTAGCCGTGAGGGGTGATGTCACCTCAGCAGGCAAAAAAAAACCCCACTCATTTTGAAAAAGCAAGCTGCTTGTGTTAGTATGGAGTTTGTGCAGAGGTGTGTCTGTGTGTGTGTGTGCGGGCATGTGCCAGCAGCATGGATAAGCCAG